GCTGTAGCTGCTTCTAATACTACTGCTGCTACATTTTCAGTACTACCACAATTAATACCAGTAAGGCTGGTTTTTTTTACATCTAAAGAGAGACTTTTTTGTGAGAGCATGTTCAAAAAACCCGTTTTTTATGAAGGTCCCGGTACAAGAGCGCAGTTTCAAATTCAGCCCTTTTATTTTTTTAAACTTTTTTCCATTCTTTTTCTATTTTTGTATAACAAACTATGAATGAGAAATTTATTTTTTTGTTTTATTCTCCGAACGGATCAATCGGTCTCTATTGAAGAAGCGTTGTGTTTGTTTAGCGAAGCGTCCGATTTGACTAATTGTTATTTGATATTTTTTATTAATAATTTTTCTACTGCAAACGATGTTTCTATATCTTTATCATTTTATTATACTCTGAATATCATTACTTTTAATTCTTTTTTTGACTAAAGTTAGAGATAAATTTATATTATTCCAACTGCTCAAATTAAAGTTTATGACCTAAGTTACATTTTCAATTGACCGAATGATTATTTCACGGCACATCTTTTTGGTAGAACTATAAAAAAATTTATTTGAATTTCTTTTTAGATTTAAAATTATTAAAATTAAAAATTAACTGATAGGATATTCAACAACAAAATTAATTTTCTTTGAAATTTCTTGCTCAAACTACTAACAATGTTCACAAAATTTCCATTTGAGAAATAGTTACTTTTTGTGATGAGACGGTAAAAAAGATAGTGTGGCCGGTTCTGCTGCTACAGTGGCTGCAATGTGGTCGTCACACATTTCAAATACAATGTATGTGATGCGTGGATTATAACGCGTATTCACATGCAATGCACTATGTTATGCGTGTGTGTGTGTGTGTGTGTGTGTGTGTGTGTGTGTGTGTGTGTGTGTGTGTGTGTGTGTGTGTGTGTGTGTGTGTGTGATTGAAAACCTATCTTTCTTCCACTAAGATTCTACTAAATTATTTCGATAAATTTTAATTGAACGGTGAAAATTAAATTAGACTGTGTTCCGCGGCTTAGTGGTACACATCAGACATATATACAACACATATGTAGAGGTAACAAAAAGGACGAAAATATAATCGGTCTAATGAAGATACATGGCATAAAATTAATAAAAAAGATATTTCATGGTTTGGTAGTAATGTAGCAAGAAGAATTAATCACATCTATATTGTCATTCTTTATGTAATATCCGACTATATGTTAAATTACTCTTTGTTATATTATATACATTTGGTTTGCTGTCTAGTTCCAGATGATGTTTTTTATGTTATTTGTAGTATTTATCAAAATATTAACTAGATTTAGTCAAATATCTAGTTAATATCAGTTAAAATTGGAGAGAAGAAAGATTTATTGATGATTTTTGCTAGATAATAATGAGTATTGTGTTAATAATCTTGTTTTGTTTTCAACCAGCAGAAGCAGGTTCGTTTTGTCTTTTTTTGAAATTCAAAATTTATTAAAATTAATCATTAATTAATGATTTTTTTAATTTTTTGTGACGCATTGCTGTTATACAGACATACAGAGAGAGCCCAACAAACTCAGCTGCTCTCTTTAGTACAGGATCACACACACACACACATAAACACACACAAACACACACTCAAACACACATAGCACATGTGAATACGACTGAATCCACTCATAACACACCTTAAATGTGTTGGGCCAAGATTTTCTTAGTAGTAGTGGTAGTAATGTAGAAGTAGTAGTAGTAGTAGTAGTAGTAGTAGTAGTAGTAGTAGTAGTTGTAGTTGTTGTAGAAGTAGTAGTAGTAGTAGTAGTAGTAGTAGTAGTAGTAGAAATAAATTAACTAAATATGAATTATCATTATATTGGTAAATCTGCATTTGCTTTTTTTTGAAATTTTTACCTCCTTCTCTGACTACTCCTTCATCAGTTACGAAGTTCAGAGCGGATCTCAAGAACCATCTGTTTGCAAAATTCATTGAGGAGCGCTGTCGAACCTCGCGGAAATAGCGCTTTATAAACTAATTGATTAATTTATTGATTGATTGATTGATTAATTGATTGATTGATTAGGTAGTATTTTAAACCGTACCTTGTACACTTCTTTGTATTCTATCAATTAGTCCTTTATGGATACTCGCTTCCGTGAGATGGGGCAACGGATGGGAACTATGATACGGACAGAGATCACGGCCACTGTTTTGTCGGTGGTGCATCCAACGGAAAAGCCTGGCTCATGGTAGATCTGGAAGATTCATACACTATAGACTGTATGGTCCTCTATCCTGAGTTTATTTTCTGTGAGTTTGTTCTGGCTGTCGTGTTGTATGTTGACATTTTATTGTGGGGTATTTTGTATTAGATTTTTATTTCAGTTTGTTTGTCAAAAAAGATTTTTAATTATTGATATGAATAAATAATTAAATAACTAAAAATAATAATTAAAAATTATCATTTTTGATAATTTTTTTCATCTCCCAGTTGACAAAATGAACAAGTTCGTAACCGGCGGTTCGAACAACGGATCCACAGAGAGAGGCAGTTACTTCTTATGCAACCAGTAGGAATTCGATCTTCCAAGGTGGATTGTTGGTACGACGAAATGCAACGCTAACATACCTGCAGTCAGATACGCTATAGTACAACAAAGAGTAGATATAAGTATTTTCCTGAATGTCTGTGAGCTGGAGGTGTTTGCCGCCAGAGATAATGGTGATAAGATTTGAAAATTTCTATGAATTTTGTTCTAGTTTATGAAATTTGAAAGATTTTTTATAATTTTAATCTGTTTTGTAATGTTTTTATAAGTTCCGCTGTTCTTGTGTAATAGATGTTAATACAATTTAGATTTATAAATTAATTGAATATTTTCAAGATAAATATTCACATTTTCTCAAGTTCTCCTAAATTATTAACTCTGAACATGAAACAAGTTTACCAAAATTTTTCTCAAAAAAATTCCAGCCAGCAAACTTTGGAACAAACTACCGAACCACAGACTAGCAAAGCCGACACCCTACACATTCAACAGGGCATCGGTGAATGCTTGCCTCGTCAGCTGTCTGCAACTTAACTGCGACTCAGTCAACTACAAAAACTACACAATCGCTTGCGAGTTGTTTCAGCATCAGTTCGGTTATTACGAAGGTAGCATCCCGGATCAAGTTCCCGACTGGGATTATTGGCAGTTGTTTTATGCTTAAACTTTGAACTATCTTTTATCTCTTGGCTACAATTGCTACTTTTATCAATACATACACTAGTTGATTGATTGACTGACTGACTGATTGATTGATTATTTGATTGATTGATTGATTGATTGATTGAGTGAGTGAGTGAGTGAGTGAGTGAGTGAGTGAGTGAGTGAGTGAGTGAGTGAGTGAGTGAGTGAGTGAGTGAGTGAGTGAGTGAGTGAGTGAGTGAGTGAGTGAGTGAGTGAGTGAGTGAGTGAGTGAGTGAGTGAGTGAGTGAGTGAGTGAGTGAGTGAGTGAGTGAGTGAGTGAGTGAGTGAGTGATTTTATATACTACTATCTTTCTGCTATGATTACATTTGATTGACTTTCGTCATTTCTTTAATTTTTTTAACTTTTTTCTTGAATTCATAAAAAATTTTGTATTTAATATTTTTAAAATCGGTACTATTGAAAATACAAAAAAAATTAAAAAATTAAAAATTGAAAAGTTAATTGAGCGAATAATATTTATGAGCTTGGGAAAGAAATTTTATGGAGAACAAATGACCAAAAAAATTAATATTTACTACTATCATTACTACTACTGCTACAAGCACAGTGTGTGTTTGTGTGTGTGTATGTGTTTGTGTGTGTTTGTTTGTGTTTGTGTGTGTGTTTGTTTGTGTTTGTGTGTGTGTGTGTGTGTGTGTGTAGGGTACCTCTAAAAATACTAATAACCAAAAATTATTTAATTAATTTATTAAATTAATTTAATTGCGTCACTAAATTGATCGATTTTGGTAGGTCATCCAGATGAAAAGACACATTTATCGGTGCAATTTTCTTAAAAAACAATTCAATAAATATATTCAAAAATAAATTTATTTATTTGAAAAATTTATTCCCAAATTACATCTATTCACGTTCGTTCAAGTTTGAAGTTCACAGTTGATAAACTGGGTATGGATAAAAAAAACAACTTTTTAAAATAAAAATTGTTTTTTGTAAAATAATAACTTCATTTGAAATAAGGACTTGTTCTCTTGTTTTTATGTGTACTATTTTTTTTAATTCAAAATTGGTATAAAGGAAATTTAGTTTGAAATTTTCTGTCGAGTTTTTTTTAGAAACTGATCTAACTAGTAGTCGGAGGGGGCTGTAGTGAAGATGAAAATTTTTAAGTTTTGCGTCATCTTTCTGAGTTTCACCTCTCTGGTTGAATCAAGTTAGAAAATAAACTTTGTTTTAAAATAATAAATATTCATTAAAATCATTACCTCAATCCAAATTAAATAATTAACATTTTTTTCTTTCTCGTGCCTCATCCTTTCAGAACATTGGCGACCATCGACCTCCACAAAACCCGATCTTTAAGACTTTGTAGGAATTGAAATATAGTGATATTCAGCAAGTAACACAAGAACTTCACGAATGTTGTTCGTTGCTGCTGACCGCGATCTCTTTTCCTTGCAATCTTTCCAGTAGTTGTTAGATTTTCCATTCTTTCCTTCCGCATGATGTGACCAAAAAAACTTTAACTGCCCCCGTCGGATCGTCTGCAGTAATTTCCTCTTTTCATAACCGGACTGTTTTAATACATCCTCATTCGAAGTATGAGAGGTCCAACTAATTTTCATAATTTTCTTCTTAAAAACCACATCTCAGCAGCGTTAATCTTTTTTCCCCATTTCTTTAGAAATTGTTCAAAACTCAGAGCCGTAAGTTAACACAGGAAAAATGTAACATTTTAACTGTTTTAATTTTGTTGATTCTCTGATTTTACCTTTTGTGAGAATTTTTATCATTTTGGAATATTCATCTTTCGCCATAGCTACTTTTCTTTTGATATCCACATCCCATTTACAACCTGGGGTAATCAGACTTCCGAGAAAATTGAAGCTTAATTAAAAACAAAATTGAATCTCAATTAAAAACGTAATTGAATCTTAATTAAAAACATAGTTGAATCTTAATTAAAAACATAGTTGAATCTTAATTAAAAACATAATTGAATCTTAATTAAAAACATAGTTGAATCTTAATTAAAAACATAGTTGAATATTAATTAAAAACATAATTGAATCTTAAATGTGCTTGATTTTTATACTTTTGATGAAATTATAAAAAATAATAACCACACGCACCATTACATATCACTAGATATATTGAAAAACTTCTCAAAACTAAATCAGAAAAAAATGCTTTCTTTTAAATTTTAGCGGCAAATTTGGCGAAAAGAAAAAAATCGAACTCGAGTTCAGTTTTTTCCGGAAGCCCGTGTTACGTGGCATCTATGGGCAATGATGGTAACTACAACCAATCTGCCCTCTGCTACTTCTACGTCATGACTGGCGATCCCACCCATGGCGAAAATTGGTGGATGGTTGATCTGGTGGAAAAGTTCTTCATCGATCGAGTCGTGGTTTACAGTACCGCTGCCTATTGTAAATTATTTTTTCATCAACGAATTCATTGATTGAAGATTTCATGATGTTTTCATTTTCCTGTGGATAAACTGTTTTAAACTAAAAAATTTTAGATCAAACTGTGTAATATTTCAATCTTAATTGCATATTAATGAATCAAACAAAATCGAACTATAGATGCATCGCTCAACTCAAATTTCATGCTAAATGTGTCTAAGATTACTACAAAATCATATGATACAATACGTTTGTGTTTCGACATGTTTATGTTTCAACACAATTTTGTAAAAAAAAATCTTCACTTATCAATTTATTCGTTTATTCACTCATTCATTTATTTATTCCTTCCTTGAATCAATCAATCATTCATTCATTAGTCCATCCATCTATCCGCTTTTCCATCCATTCACTCTTTTAAAAATCCTTCACAGCCGACCACCTGAGCCAATTCATCATCGGCCTCTCAAACTTGTTTACACCAGTAAAGCGAAACTTTTATGAGATTTGCGACCAGTACCTGCTGAGCGTCGTCACAATTTCGTCCTTCGAAGTGAGGTGCTATGCAAACCTGCCGGAATTTAAAGTCGTAGTCCTTCAGCAGCCTTATAACGGACCCGGGACGTTGAGTTTCGCTGAGGTTGAAGTCTATGCCAGTAGGAATCCAAGTTTGTATTTTCTTTATTTTATTATAGATAATCTATTTTGTTTTTATGTTAATTACAATCATGATAGTGACGATGAAGATGATGATGATGATTAAGAGGACGATGAAGATGATGACGATGATTAAGAAGGCGATGAAGATGATGACGATGATTAAGAGGGCGATGAAGATGATGACGATGATTAAGAGGACGATGAAGATGATGACGATGATTAAGAGGGTGAGGAAGATGATGACGATGATTAAGAGGACGATGAAGATGATGACGATGATTAAGAGGGCGATGAAGATGATGACGATGATTAAGAGGACGATGAAGATGATGACGATGATTAAGAGGACGATGAAGATGATGACGATGATTAAGAGGACGATGAAAATGATGACGATGATTAAGAGAACGATGAAGATGATGACGATGATTAAGAGGACGATGAAGATGATGACGATGATTAAGAGGACGATGACGATGATTAAGAGGACGACGACAATGATGACGACAAAGACAATAGTTATATAAGATAATTATAGAAAAAAGTCAAACAAAATAAAAATATGATTAACACTGAATAAACTCCTTTTCCGAAACACAAGATAGCAAACTGTGGTACAGACAGACGAACTATCGCATGCTGAAACCGGCCGCTCTGAAGAAAACACCGTCACCATTGTTGGAGTGCCTCATCCAGTGTGTCACCCAAAACTGCAACACCATCAACTACAATCGCAAATTAAGTTCTTGTGAAATTTTTCAATCTCTCTTCGGCTTTGGTGAACCTTTTTTTCTCACCGGCTCCGCTGGCTGGGACAACTGGAAAGTTCTCTATATCTAGAGAGGGAAAGAGTGAATTAGAAAGAGTGAGAGAGAGAGAGAAAATGAAAGAGAGAAAAAAAAGATCAAATAATGAAATGATTGAAAAATATGACAAAAGGTATATCTAGATAAATATATAAAGATAGAAAAGCAGAGAATAATGGAGAAAAAATGAATGTATAAAGATTGATAGAGAGAGAAAGAAAAAGAGAAAGTGAGAAGAGAGAGAAAACAATATGAATAGAGTTCAAATATAGCTCAAAGTTCTTTATTCTCCCATAATTTTTAAAGATCATCAAGAATGAGAAATAGTGTATGAAATGAGTTTTTTTCAAAGTTCCTTCAAGCTTGAACTAAAACCGGTCCAGCGTTGTTAAAGACTCGTAAATAATTTTCATCTCTCTCCTCTCTCTCTCTCTCTCTCTTTCTCTATCTTTTTTCTCTCTCTCTTTTTTAGGTAATCTACTAAATATTAATGAACCTTCACTAAATCATAATAAAATTCTACTAAATTATTTTCGTTAAATTTTAAATGAACGGTGAAAATAGCAGACATATATACACATATGTAGAGTTAACAAAGAGACGAAAATATTTTTATTATTCGGTCTAATGAACGTACAATGGCATAAAATTAATAGAAAAGATATTCCATGGTTTGGTTGTAATGTAGCAAGAAGAATTAATGGCGTCTATCATTATATATATTGTCATTCTTAATGTAATTTTTTACTATATGTCATATTATTTTTTTTATATTTTGTAAAATTGGTTTGGTGTCCAGTTCTGAATGTTATCTGTAGTTTTTATCAAAATATTAACTAGTTTCTAGTCAAATATTTAAAGATATATTGAGAATTTTTGCTAAATAATAATGAGTATTGTATTATTAATCTTGTTTTGTTTTCAACCGGCTGAAGCAGGTTCATTTTGTCTTTTTTTGAAATTCAAAATGTATTAAAATTAATTATTAACCAATGATTTTTTTAATTTTTTTGAAGCATTCCTGTTAAACAAACAAACAAACAGAGCCCACCAAACATAACTATTCTCTTTAGTGCGCGTTCAAACCTTTGAACAACAAGTGTCCTAACATTCGCATTCACACCTAAACGACAACGTACATACACACTACAATTCGGTTTGTATGTATATGTTCACATCACTCGTTCTAAACATACACACCCCAAGACGTACATAAATTACAACGAAACGGTGCAAATTTTTTATGTCCGTAAAAGCTTTGCCTCATACGCATCAGATATTTTGTTATTTGAATTCTGAACAAGGAGAATTTGAACCAGAGACATTGAGCATTAAAAAGGATAAAAAAAAAAACACGCCACTATTGTCGTCTGCGATAATTCGTTTTCCTAAAAAATATAAAATAAACATTTTGAGTGTCTACTTCTTCAACGTTTACAATTACAATTTTCAATTGCAATTCACGGTTACAATTAAAATGTACAGTTACAATTCCTAATTACAATTTACAGTTACAATTACAGTTCACAGTTACAATTTACAGTCACAATTTAAAATTTCCTCCGAATAGAAACAAATATCGCTCTACACAAGAACGCGACTACCGACGTTTACTACGGCGACCTGGACTGCAATGGCCCATGGCACGCCACAGATGGCAGTTACGATAACAACAGAATCAATTGCTACTGTTACTTCGGAGGTGGTTGGGGTCTAACTGCCTGGCTGATGGTTGATTTGGAAGAGGAGTTCAACATTGATAGCATTACTCTTTACACTGAGAATATTTATTGTGAGAATAACTTATCGTGTTAACATTCGGGATTTAATTTATCATCGTACTAGAAATAATTTAGCATACTGATACTTAAGCCAACCATAGATTAATTTTTATTAAAGTTTTTCCAACTAATTTCAAGATAAGAATAACTAATTAAATTTTTAAAGCTTAAGTAATACATGTTCGCTAACACAACATTTCTAATCAATATATCCCTTGAAACGCTCACAGGGTATAAAATGCATCAGTTCATAACTGGCGGCTCTAACAACAAAACAACGGTAAGAGGGTCGTACTACATATGCAATCAATATGAATTTGAACTGACAAGGCCCAGCGTATGTCCAGTCAAATGCAATGCAAACATTCCTGCTGTCCGATACGTCATAGTCCAACAAAGGAAAGATATGACCTTACATTTGAATGCCTGTGAACTGGAGATATATGCCGCGAAAGTTAATAGTAAGAGTTGATTTAGTGATTTTTTAAAAATAATTTTCATTATTCTTTGTAGAATGTTTTTGTTTTTGAAAATATTTTTATTTTAAATTGATTTTAATCCTTTTATTTGACTACGATGTATACCATGAGTTATGTGGCTAAGAAATCTGTATCAAATATGTAGAGTAAAATTTTATTTTAGAGAATAAAACTCAAAAATTGATAATTTTTAGGTTTCAAATGATGGCTATTATTAATAAAATAAAAAATTATGAGAGAAAAACTTAACACAAAACCAAAAAGCAAAATCATTCACTCATTCCAATCCTAGGTAGCAAGCTATGGAACAAACAGTCAGACCGCAGATTGGTAAAATGGACTCCCTACACGTACAATAGAACTTCGGCCCATCTGTGTTTGATCAACTGCATACAGCTAAACTGCGATTCAGTCAACTACAACAATCTTACAAACGCCTGTGAGATTTTTCAACATCCATTTGGTTATTATGAAGGAAATTTACCCACTTTTGCCAAAAGTTGGGATTATTGGCAGTTATTCTACGCGTGAATTACTTTTATTTTTCCATGTTAAATCCATTTTAAGTTAGGGCTGGATCGGTAGGGTGTGGTGTGGTCTTGGGGCTACAAAGAAGTGGAGGTCCCTATTTATTTAGTGAAGGCCTCCCTTACAATTTCAATTTCCTAAATTTCTATCTATTATTTCTATCGCAAAAATACTTTTCAATTTGTCTTTTTAATTCATTCATTTATTTTTTTTAATCTTTCCAACGATACTTTTTTATATTTCTTTTTCCTCTCTCTCTCTCTTTCTCTCTCTCTCTCTCTCTCTCTCTCTCTCTCTCTCTCTTTCTCCCTTTCTATCTCTCTCTCTATCTATCTCTCTCTTTCTCTCCCTCTCTTTTTCTCTTCTGTTTTTTTACTGACAATAAATATATAAATGTATATTATTTAATGTATTTAATGGAATAACTAATTAAATATTTAACAAAGTGATCGTACATTGCACGGATCATTGGCTGCATAATGATGGTAGAAAAAAATATCTTTTGTCTGTTTGATGGTGCATGCTTAAGTAGTTGTTATTTGATATTTGAGAATAATTAAACAGCAATAGAATTATAATGAAAATAGTAATAAGCTGAAGGAGAAACAGACGGAGAAAAACACAAAAATAATGATAATATTTATGATAATGTTTGCTTCATGGGCAAAGTGATGTTTCTTTTATTTCTTCATATTCTGGGAAATTTTATTTCTAGTTTTCTTATTTTTTTCAAAAGTTTATGAATATTTTATAATTTGTAATTTTTTCAATTGTTTTAATTCACATTTATAATTAAATTTTTATATATTACTATTTATCAGAAGTACAAAAACGCTCTCCAAACCAGCTTAATTTTTGAATTTTTAATCATTTAGATAAAATTAATTTGAATTATTAAAACATATACAATAAAAAAATAGCTATTTCTGGTTGCTAGATGTAATGGCAAAATTAACGATTTGTAACTTTCAAAGCATGGCAAATTTATATATAAAAATGGAGATATTTATAAAAATTTCACGAATTGAAGTGTAAATTTTATTTAAAAGATAAAACTTTGTCAGTTTAAAACATTCTGTTTCATCGACTACGTGCACTTAACTATGGACATAAAACTGGAAAAAATCTTTAAGGCTTTTTAGGCTGAAACTACCAAAAGAGTATGTCAAAAAAATAGGTTTATAAAGCAATTGATAACATTTTGCAGGAATTTTGCAACATTCTTGCTGTAGTTTTGAGAATTTTGAAGAATATTTACAAAGATTTTTAGGTTTTTGGTAACAGTTTATTATACTTCGAAGTGTTAAATAACCTTTTGCTACAATTTTCTGTAATTTATAACAGCTTTACAAAAGTTTCGTAGTGTTAGGTAAAGGTTTCAAAAAATACTGTCTATGTTTATAACATTTTTCAATAGCTACACGTTTAGAAAAAATGTTAGAAAAGTTGTTGCTGTGGTGTTTGCTGCTTTTTATGGTTAATCAAAGTTTGTATTTAATTTTTCAACATTTTATGTTTAATAATAAATTAATAATAACAAATCATTCATTATTAATTGAAAATATATAAATATATAAATTTGAAATGTTGGAAAAATTTTGGAGAAAAATTGATAACAATATTAATGCATGACAACTTATAATCATATAATCAAACAAAATAAAAAAAAATCAATTAATTGATAGTGAAAAAACGCCAAAATATAATTCAAATTTCTTGAAATAAATTTTCAGCCAAAGGCGCAAGCCTATCAACCCTTAAAAACGTCAGCTCATCCAGTATATACTACCCCGACTGTTACGATCCTAGCAGAGCTGTAGATGGGAAATATATGCAAGATGATACTTGTGTAAATATGTTTTTAGGCAATGATGTTTCTGGCGGCCCAAACTGGTGGCTGGTCGACCTTGGAGTCAAATATTTCATTGATAGAGTTAAGGTTTTTAACACTGAAAACCACGGTTAATGTTTTTCTATTTGAAACTATTTTTATATGAACTTGTAAGCGTATTTATTTTAAGCTTATTTAGTTATTTAGAAGGAGTATTTTTTTTTTAAATTTTAGTTGAATTGTAAAATTTTTTGAAATATAATTCAACATTTTGACGTTGAAACACGTATCCACCTAACTACCAGAAACAAGCTTAAACATGTTCATAGTGGGCCTATCAAACATAGCAACGTCAGTGGATAGAAATACGTACGATGTATGTGACCAGTTCTCACAGTCAACGAGTCTGATAAGTTCATACCAAGTGAAATGTTACGCTAATTTGGCGCAATTCAATGTGGCTATTATACAGCAACCTCTAGTGGCACGGGATGGATAGCCTTTGGCGAAGTGAAAGTGTTTGCCTGCCAAAATCCTGGTTTGAATTAATACTTTTGTAATCATTACTCCAAAATTTTTGTTAAAACAAATTTAAGTGCACTCCCAGACAAAAATTTCTATATACATTCCTAATTTTCCGATTCAAATTAAATAGCTAACAAAAACCACCATCCCTACTACAAGATTCTAAAGTTTGGCTGCGTAACTCAAACAGACGTCTGAAGAAATCACCAATGCTGAAAGTTACAGCATCGTCTCGTATGACCTGCGTTATTCAATGTAACATTCACAAATGTTGTTCTGCTAATTTTAATGAAGTTTCAAAAATATGCGAATGTTTTCAAAATCTGAAGGGGAGTGGAGAGTCCTACGTTGCTGAGCCGGCTGTCGGCTGGGACAACTTCAAATTTCAATTCGTGTAAGACGAGTAGAAACTCGAATAATATTTCAGATTTCTTAGACATTTTTTCAAAAAAATACTAAATATTTGATGAAAATTTGAGCATGTATCAGTTATTTTAATCGTATTTATTAAATTTTATTTAAAATGAACATTGTTTTAAAAAATATATAATTTTTTCGTGTTATTAATCCAATAAAAAGTTCTAATTTTTAAAGTATTTCAAAGCAAGGATTAACAACAGATAAGCAAAAACATTGAGAACTACACAACCAACAACACTTATAACAAGCATTATTACAAAGAAGAAAGAATGATGGAAGAAGTTAAAGATATAAAAAAAAAGACAGAATGATTAATTGAGATAAAAAATAAAAAAAGATAGAAGAAAAGAGATAGAGAGGGATAAATAGAGCGCAAACATGCAGACAAAAATAATTATTCCTCTTAGGATATTTCCCCGTAATTTTTTAATGGATATCACGAACGACAAACAGCGTATGAAACGAATGACATACTGCCTTTCTTTTCAAGTTCTTTCAAATGTGAACTGGAACGTACCATGCTTGCATAGTCAGAGACGTTTAAATTGTCTACATGTCCGTCTTCCTCTCACTCTTCATCTTTCTCTCTTTCTGTCACAAACTGTCACGCTGGACAAACCCCCTCCCCCCCTCTTCCCAGCGTGACGTAATTAGTGAATGGCCCCTTATTCACCTAAAATGTTCGTTAAAATCTACTAGTCAAATTGTTTTTTGAAATCTAGCTGTTGGTAAAATTGAGAAAATTTATGATAAAATAAAAGTGGCATCAGAGTAGAGTGAATAAGTAGGAACAAACAGTAGCAGATCTAGGAGGTGAATACAGGGTTTCACACCCCACCCTCCATCAAATTGCAAAAAGGGAAAATTTTAAAGATTCCGTGTAAAAAATTGTCACTAAGTTGATAATTTGAAAACGAAACGAAAAAAACACCAAAAAATAAAAAAATTAAGCATAAAAATGCTGCCAATAATCCCAGCCATACTCCGGAATGGGATAAACCCCAGTTTAGTATCCGAACGGATAGACGAAGATCTCACAGGCAGTTGTCTGGTTGTCGTAGTTGAGGAAATCGCAATTAAGTTGGAGGCAGTTGATGATGCAACTGTTTATGGAGGTTCTGTTGTAGTTGTATGGGGTTGGCTGTTTTAGTTGGAAGTTTGCCAGTTTGTTCCACAATTTGCTGGCTGCGGAAATTGTAAAAAAAAGTTTCACAAGTTTTACAAATCTCTCTCTTTCTTTCTCTCTCTCTCTTTCTCGTATTTCTATTTAATTTACTCTTTGATTTTAACTGGTTAACAATTTGTATATATTCAGACAAAATCAGTTATGGAATTACAAACTCATTCATCAGTCGATGTATAAACTAAGTATTTTATTGAATCTAACAGGAGTTTAAAGTTAAACATTACTTAAGGTAAACATTTCGCAAACTTATCGGCAATATTTTAGATTGCAATCACGAATTTGAATACTTTCCAAAAAAGATTCCAAATTTCTCACTGCTATTTCGAGCTTCAAAGACGAGAATCTCGCAGACATTCAAGGTCCCCGGTGCATTGTACTTCTGTTGTACAAGTACAAATCTGATGGCCGGTATATTGGCGTTGCATCTCATGGTACAGGAAGCTCCAAGTGGTATTGGATATTCGTGCTGGTTGCATACGTAGTAAGTACCGCGGACCGTGGTGTTGGTGTTGGAACCGCCTGTTATGAAGTTTTCCATAGAACTGTCTTTGGATTGTATAAAAATTCTCTGATAATATTTCAGTAAAAAGTATTTGTGTTGTTCTAACTAGAGTTTCATTTGTTAGTATTTTATTAATTTGTATTTCAGTTACTGTCACACTCTTAAACTAAATCTGCATTTGTCTTTTCTGACCATTTCTCTTTGAAACTTTCCACCTCCTTCTCTTACTGCTTCTCCATCACCATGACTCATGATAAACTTCATGGAAACATCTGTCAGTCATCAGCAATGATTCATACTTGGCTCTGGATGTCCTTACTCTCGTCAAATGGAGAGTGACATAACGTACTTCAATCTTGACTGTTGGACTTTTTTTTAACAAGTTTATTTCATGTAACGCATAAAACTTTGCAGAAAACTATTTAAAAATCCATTTAAATTAAATTTTAAATGTTGATGAGAAAATATAAATTTGTGCCAAGAGTATGTTCGAATCCGCCTCTCCAAAAAATTACTGCCCGTAGACATCTGTCTCAATTGATTATTGAGTAAACCGGCTCTGAATGAGCAAACACAACGATCATATGGAGTTTTGCAATGCTTTATTCTAAATCTAATTCAATATTTTTGAAATTACACTACGAAGTAATAAAAAAATTGAAATAAAGGTTACAGAATATTTATTTAATGATTTGTAACATATTATGTAATATTACGCTCACATTTTCCAAAACTCAAGCCGAAATATCATGATACATATTGCGGATGGTGTAAAGAGATACTCAATGAAGATAGCATAATAGTGTGTGATGAGCATGGGACATAGTTTAGGGATATTCAAAATATTTTTAGTTATAATTTAATAGTATAATAATTTCATACATGTATAATTATATACACGTGTTTATAATAATATAGTCTCATAATTTTAAAATGAAATATCTAGGCCAGACGTTTTCATCATCTTATAACATTCACCAAGCAACCGTTTAAATATGATCAACAGTGAAATTAAATATGATCAACAGTGAAATTAAATTGTTTTAAAGTTTAAACTGTTTTTAAGAGTCAACTTGATTGATTAAATAAACAGTTTGACAGAATAGTTTAGAAGAATAGTGCAAAAATGGACTAAAATAGATAAAAAAATCGCTAACTACAGATGTCAAAATACTAGAAAAAGAAAATTTGAAACAAATTTTCAAAAATGCATTTTTAATAGTACGTTGAAACGAATTTTACCATTCCAAACTGTCCTACTCGTCTAAGCATACTGAACTTTCCAGGTTTCCCAGCCAGCAGCGGTGGTCAGGGTGTAAGGTTCGCCCATTCCTTTCAGAGTTTGGAAAAGTTCGCACCGTTGCGTGGCGTTTCTGTAGCTGACCAGGTAGCAGTTGCGAACGCTGCATTCGCTGACACAAGCTGCACGAGATGATGATTTGTTGTACGTAACGGTTTTCTCTAAGCGCTGGTTTGGAAATCTTAACCAAAGTTTAGACTCTGGTGTAGTAATTTACGAGAGAAATTAAAGTCTATTACTAATTAATGATTGCATTCGGTGAATTCAGTAGTTTAAATTTTTGACAAATAAAATGTAATCGAACCGGGATTTTTTGGCTCAAACACTTCCACTTCATCAAGAACCAAAAGGCCAGGGCCAGTAGCAGGTTGTTGGATGATAACCATACTGTATCTAGGTAGACTTGCATTACACTTGACCTGCTGGAATCTTAATGACTTAGTTTTTATTTGGATCTGCTCACAAACATCGTAGGAGTTTCTCACAACCGGGTCCTGGACTTTGCTCAGACCGACGATGAAGTTATCATAATATAGCTCTGAAAAACATTTAGCAGGCGGGTCATTTATAAGTTGGATCAGCAATTTTCTATTGAATTATATAAAAGTCGATATTTGAAAATTAATTTGATGTCTTCGAAGATACCAATGAACATATTTTAACCTACCATATCCTTTGATTTTGAAAACAACAACACGGTCTATGTAATACGAGGCTCCCAATTCCACCGACCACCAATAAGGGGCATTTTCATTATAATAAATGTCAAAATAGAAAAAAATGTAGCAGACAAAAGTTTGGCTCTTTATCCCATCAACAGCATAGCGTGGATCATAACAAAAACTGTAATTATATCCATGAACTGTCTTGTTTCTAGCCAGGTTTAACTCTTATGAACATTAAAAAAATTACTTTTTCAATAAAAAAAAAAGACAATTAATGCCAATAAGCTGACAAATAAAATGCTCCAAAACAATTTTCCGATTGAGACAAACATTTTTACTAAAATTGTTAGTTCTTCTTACCTGCGTCAGTCCAATGTTGAGCCATTAGAAGTGCCAAACAAAATTTGAACATTGCTGCTTCTTACTGCATTCAAGATCATCTGTCAATGTCTTACAAAAAGTAAAAAATATTTATTTGAAAATTTTAGCACCATCGTCTGTGTGTGAAATTCAAAACTTTTTTATCACCTTTTTCTCTCATCATGTTTATTTTTCTTAAGCGATCACTTTTTATTTCTCTTTTTCTCTTTCTTTCCCTCTCTCTCAAAACCTCTCTCTCTCTCACTTGTTTTCAATTTTGTTGATTTCTCAATTTGAAGTATTTCTAAATCACGAACATACAGAACATTAACACCATTACAAATAATGAAATCTTATTTAGTTAATCAAACAATGAACTTTCAAGAAACTACATTTCAAGACCAGTCAGCACTGATAGCCAATATTGCAGTGTCACCTTAAAATACCCTCAAAGTAATTTAAAAACAAACAAATTATTTGGTACTTAGCAAATAATCATATACTAACCAAATGAAACTCAGATTTAAAGACGTCTTTACTGTCAAAAATAACTGAAAATTACTTCAAAAATGAAATGATTTTCTTGCAATTGGTTGTTTTTAAACTTTGTATCTTTCTGGAAAAATACACGTGTAAACATTTCATTGGCTGGATTTGATCTCACGTCATCAGCAGACTGGTTGTAAGCATTTCATTGGTTGAGATTTAATCCACGTCCCAACGAGTCGGTCTTAATAACTGAATTAAATTTTTTTTCAATTTGGATGAAGTTTCTTAAGAAATTTCATATGAATTCCTTTTTTTAACTTTAAATCTGACATAAGAACAATGGTATCATTTAATATTCACGCCTGTCTTACAAATTCAACTTTTTCTTCTGTCTAAAAAGACTAGCTTTTTACCAAAATGAGTCTTTTGAAACAATGTACGTACGGATCTTAAATCTTGGAGATATTTATTAATAATTCATGTCGTTATAAATCTCTTCCTTCTCTCTCTTTCTCTCTTTTTATCTCCTTCTCTTGCTATTTCTCTCTATTTTCCTCCTTCTCTATCTTTCATTTTTCAAATTAATTTTACTTTTTTACCTTCCTTAGCTTAGAAACTGTACTTGTGCAATTGTATGCACTTAGCGATAAATTCAAAACTTGAACTTATCAACATAAGTAGTAGTAGTAGTAGTAGTAGTAGTACTAGTAGCAGCAGCAGCAGTAGTAGTAATAGTAAATATGGTAGTAGTAGTAAAAATAGTAGTTGTGGGAGTGTTTGTTCAACCAATTTAGTTAACTTTGTTTAATTAGTAACAAATGCTTCAAATATTGAACGTACAGACTGAACAAGTCTTAATGCTTCGATTGCTTCTTTATTTATGTTCTATTTCACTTTATATTTTATTTTAATTTTATTTCATACTTGCTAATATAGTGTGTATGTAGGAATTTTTTTATTGATTGCACATTTGTGGCTAGACGACTTCATTCTGAGTGGTGATTTCAATGGCAACTTTGTATATATTTTTTCCAACTTCCAAACGCAATTTGATCATTGCAAATGAAAGTTTACTTGGCAAATCATCCAAAATATCATTCTATAATTTAAGATTAAAACTTCGTTAGATACTATTAATTTAAACGGATTTTCTGTAATTTTTCAAAAAATTTAAAATTAAAAAAACTGCAAAAACAGTATAAAATTTTGAAAATGTTTTATTTGTCGAAATAATTTCCCCAAAAATACTTTTTCAAATTAGTAATGATAGTTAAAAATACTATCAATCTTCCCCGTAACCCTGGCACGTAATGCAACACTTGTCCTTACTCTCCCTGCACATCCTTTCTCTGTCTTTGGCTACATCTTTGCAGGTATACATGGAGTTATCTTCGTAAGATTTGAAACGATTTGGCGCATCACCGTATATGCAAGTACCTGTGAAATGTGTGTGTGTCTGTGTGTGTGTATGCGTGCGTGTGTGTGTGTGTGTGTTTGTGTGTAGTTTTTGGATGTTGGGTGTTACTGGCTTAATAGCTGCTTTGAATTAAAAGTGGGGTTTGGTTTTAAGTTGAGGAAAGATTTTGAAAAGAAAGAGAACTTTTTTCCAGAAAGTATGTAGTGTGGTTGCAGTTGTACATGTACATTACTTATTCGTTATTTTATAAATTGGGATTTTGTAAAATGTTTTAAGAGTTACAGTGTGGAGAAGTTGTTGGATGTTAATTTTTACATGTCCGTCATTTCAGAGTTTGAATTTTATTAATAGTTGAGAAGATGTTTTGAAAGTAAAATGAAAAACTGAAAAAAAATTGATAAATTTAAAAAAATTCCACATTTCGTCTAATTTATCAATGTTTAAAATGAAAAAAAATCAGTTTAGACATATCGGTTTGAATCGTTACGATAAATTGAAATGAAATATTTTTTCTAGGAGCTAGTCCAATAAAGCTATTCCCAAAACAAACAGAAAACTCCTTCCAATATGATATACTAACCTTTGACCGACGGAGCTCTTTCGTCACGAACACACTGGCCCCTGATACACCACATCTTGTCACCGCAGGTTGTACCATCGTGAGCCCTTCCAAAATGGTCACAGCCATTTAATTGCGGGTTCCAACAGTGCATTCTAGAACATATGGAGTCGTGCTCTTTGTCTCCAGGCTGTGTTTGTGTGTGTTTGTGTGTGTGGTGTGTATGTGTTGATATTTAACGGCAGCGATCTCTCTTTTAAAATATAACTCGGTATTCAATGACAAAGGATTCAATTAAATACACAAGTGGGATGATACAATAAATAGAGAACTAATTTTCAAGAATTCCCAAATCAGACAGGAAACCCACTCACAGTGCAGTACTTAAATGCCATTCCATATCTCATCTGGCACTGAACGTCTGGACTGTACTTGGTCCCTGGCATGTCCACCAAGTAAGTGGCAATTTCTTCGTACTTCCGGTACATATTCTTCCTACTCAGACAGTTGTGGTTGTCTCTAAAGAAAAATGAGGAGATTCGTTATGGCGTCATAATTTTAGAGTATGTTAACGGTAATGTTCGAAATTATGAATCCGTAATAATGATTTTGAATGTGAAGTTGATGATTTAGAGTTGAGTTCAAGATGGCGTGGGTAATCATTAAATTGGAATTATTTTAAATCTTCATTAAATAAATTTTCCAGTCATTCATTTTTATATATAAAAATATCAATTCAAAATAATTTTCAATTTATTAAACTTTTTTACAAAAGTTCTAAATCCAGTTCTAAAAATGTTGGTAGAAATAATTTTTTACGAGTTAAAAAACATTAAAAAAACTCGTTTAACCAAAATTTCCGAATCAATCAATCAAAAATATTTAGAACTAACCCAACTATAGAGTCGGTTAGAAGCTGGAAATACTTCCTGGAACAGGGTGAAAAGGTGTGGTAGTTGTTCTTGGCGGACCACGGGAAATAGTTGGAGCCCATGAGATAGAGATCGTCCAGTGTGCAATTATTGCGATCTCCATCATGCCTCGAACCCAAGCTGATGAAAATTTTTCTCATTTTTTATAATTTATTTTTCAAATATTCATTAAATGGTCTAAAAAAAAGACAGATTTTCGACTCAAATTTAAATTTAAATTTGTTTTTAAAGGGTGTCCAATCAGAGCCGGATTTAAAGCAAGGCAGAATTTGGGGGGGGGCTTAACAAGATAAGTTCTCCGCAATAAATAAAACATAATTTAAAAATATTTTTGTCGCTAAACTTTCACAGACTGCAAACAACTTCAAAGACTTCAGCAACTCACATGTGGCCCATCTCGTGCGCGGCTGTGTCGATCGTATCATAGAGGCCCTTGCTTTGAATCAGAGCAGTCCCGGCTGTCCTACAAACTGTTCCAATGTAAGCTCGCCCAGGTATGTCACCAGTATCGTAACTTCATAAATTAGAAAAAAAAATAATAATTTATTTCTCCACAAACATTTGTATTTTTATCTTTTTTGCTGACGACAACTATCACAAAGCACATGCTAAGACGCTTGAATGAACGCAAAATTATGGATATCACAATTTTTCACAATCCGTGAAGAAGTGCCAGAGTTGGAAATCGGTTTGATTGGGTACAAATTTTATTGATACCTATTAATGATACTTTGCAAAAGCGTTTTTGGACAACAAATATTATCTTTATTTGTCTTTGATCTTGGAAAAAAAAAACATTTTATCAATAATTTGATCAGCGAGTTAGCTCAGTAGGTTGAAATGTTATGTCTCACCTTGTTATAACGAGATAACCTGCTTCAAGTACAATGTGTGTGTGTGTGTGTGTGTGTGTGTGTGTGTGTGTGTGTGTGTGTGTGTGTGTGTGTGGCCAAAGGCAGAAAAGTTTTATTATAAGTATAAAATGATACGTTAGCAGTCCGGCTTAATGGAGAACAATAAAAAAATATTAATTTTGTAAAAAAAAAAACAAAGAATCTAAAATTTAAATTCACCCAGTAAAAGCAACAGCCATGTCAGAAGTTGGAACTTTATTATTTGGTTTTTCTCTCGTCCTAAGGTTGTTCGCCACCCAATCAGCCACACTCGCCTGCGCAGGTGTCATCTTCAGTTTTCCATCGCTGCTTTTGAGTTTCTCTATGAAGTCTGCTGAGTCTGCGGTCTATGAAAATTATTTCTTCTCAAATTTTAAATTGAATTTATTTTAAAATTCTGAAAATTTCTACAGGTTTTTAGTATCTAGAATAACATTTTCCGAAGTCTTATTTGATGTGAAGTTTTAGTTAGTTTTCTTTTTTTAACTTTAAGATGTTACACCTGTTAGTTTTCAAAACTATTTTGAAAATTTAAGACCATTTATGAAATGAATTACATGATTTTCTAGATTATTTTCAAACTTCAAGTTCAATTTTTCGAGAAAAAAAATTATCTCAGGTGAGGTTTCATGTTGTTTTCTGAACTCACTAACTTCGCAGATGTAATAGCCGATCAGTCTGACGGAGTATTTGTATTTCATATCGTCAATCGTTCGGTACTTTTTATCAATCTGAGGTAGAGAAATTTATTCTGTTCGGATTATCTAGTCACTGATGATGAAAAATATTTCAGATTACTAAATTTAAGTTATTGTTGGTTGGTCGAACTTATAAAAGTTAAAATATCGAAGTTAAATTTAGCAAGTTATTGTCATTCCAGTGAAATGAACAGCGTTTAAGATTAGCAGATTTTAAATACAGCTAAATGTTGAATCCGGGTTGTATAAAAAATAAAGTGAAGTAGTCTATTATATAGTTACTAGGTTTGAAGTCAATTAATTAATTAATCATTTTAAATATGTGAAATACAATTAATTGTTGCTGAAATAAGTTATAATGGTAGTAAAAAACAACAAAATTTTAAAAAAATAATGAAAATAAAATTTTTTTTATTGAAAATGTTTCTACAATAGACCAACCCCATCTGCAATGTTGGCAAAATGATACTTTATCATCTGCATTGCTCTATCCCTATTATTCTCATTCCATTTCATGAAACTTTTAAAAAATTGGAAAAAAAATAGTTGATTAAAAAAATAATTTATTAATTAAAAAAGTTATAGTCGGCAAGGTAGCTCAGTCGATAGAAGCGCCATGTGTTTTGTTGTAATTGTTTTGTAACCTGGATCGAATACTGTCTACTTTCTGTCTGTTGTCGAAAATGCAAAAACTTTCGTGTGGCGTGTCGTGGCGTTGTGTGGTGTGGCGTGTCATGGCGTTGTGTGGTGTGGCGTGTCGTGGCGTTGTGTGGTGTCGTGTGGTGTGGCGTGTGTGTGTGTGTGTGTACGTCGTCTGTTGTGATAAAATGAGTGAAAAATTTTAAAAATCTCTTACCGTTGAAATAGAGCGTAATCAATGATGAAGAGAACTTCAATGACCAAATCATTCTCCGCCAGTACCTCGCGTTTTTGACGGGCATCCCCATTAAGCCCTTCAACTGCTAATAAATTTCTCTTACTTACTTTAGTTTTATTTGATAGAAAATGAATTTATTTTCATAAATAACAAAAATTTTCTATGTTATTTGAAATAATCTAAAAATAAATTCTATACAAATTGATCCTGAATCATAAACCATCTAGCTATGTAACCATCCTATGTAGTTTTTATGGGATTAAAACTTAGAAGTTAAACATTTTTTCATGCTGTATAATGGTTACTGTGCCATAACATAGCATTACAGAACAGAATTTAACCAAAAAATATTGTTGATAACATAAAAACTGGAAGAAAAAAACAATCATTTATTAATATTATAATTAAATTTAAATAAAAAATAAACGAATTACTTTCAAAATTCTCCCCAATAGCGGAAAATTGCGCTAACGAGAAGATTAAAACAAGACAAGAAAATATTTTTAACCAAATCATCGTTCGCGTGCTGGGTTTCACAATTTGTGTGGGAAGTCTTGATTTACATAGAAATCGTCGCTTTTGTAACCTTCCTGAATGTTAAACAAACACTACTGCTGATACAACAACTATTGCACCTGCTACTGCTGCTATTACTACTACTACTACTACCACTACTACAGCTGCTGCTACTACTACTACTGCTTCTGCTACTACTACTTTTATTAGTACCACAACTACCACCGCTGCTTCTGAAGCTGATTTTTTGGCTTCATGAAGTCTCAGTTAATGAAATAGAAAACTAAAACATATGTAAAAATTACAAAAGTTAATCCGCGGGTTGTGGCAGTCCCGAAACATCCCTCCTCTACCTACTCTCTCCCTACTGAAAATTTTTTCTGGAGCGTTTAACGAGCAAAAAATATTTGTGTGGTTAGTGGTGGGAAGAAATTTTTTTGCAATTAAGCAAAAGCTGCGTGGTTGCAGTGCAGTCATTTAGAAAAATTACTCTCTCTCTCTCTCTCTCTCTCTCTCTCTCTCTCTCTCTTTCTCTATCTCTCTCTCTCTCTCTCTTTCTCTCTCTCTGCAAAACTTTTATTAAAGTAAATAGATGAAAAAAATGAAACTTATGAAAATTGATTGTTAGGCAAATATTACTACTACTACTACTACTACTACTACTACTACTACTACTACTACTACTACTACTACTACTACTACTACTACTACTACCACTACTACTACTACCACTACTACTACTACTACTACCACTACTATTACTACTACTACTACCACCACTATTAATACTACTACTACTACTTATGATCATGACGTCATATTCTCTCTTCCGATTTTGAAATCGTCATTCAGAATGTTTCCGTTGAATTTCAGCGAGCCTTCTACGTGAGCTCTGGATGACAAATACTGACGAATCGGGTTTTCACAGCTTGCTGAACCTATGTCGGTGAAGATAAAATATTATTTATTATAAAGAATTATAGTTGAGTAATTATGAATAATTATAATAATATAATTATAATAATATTGATTGTTATGAATATTTTTATCTATCGCCGAATGAATTTAGACTTGCCACTAGACCACAGGTGCTATTCGAATTGGGTTATTATAAACAGCATCATCGTCGTCGTCATCTGTGTCGTCATCATCATCAACAACAACAACAACACCATCATCATAATCCAAATCATTCATCACCATCATAATCACACACATTATCATCATCATAACCACAATCATCATCATCATTACCTCTCTCCAAATACTTGATGAGGTACATTTCCGTCTTAATGTAATGGAAGACAATTGGAAAATGGCTTAAGCATGTCAATCTCTGTTGTTATTATTATTATTATTAGTTGTAGTAGTAGTGCAAGTAATAGTAGTAGTAGTAGTAGTAGTTGTTGTTGTAGTAGTAATAGCAGCAGCAGTAGTAGAAGTAACAATGACTGAGCAGAGTTAGTAGTAGTAGCAGCAGCAGCAGTAGTAATAGCAGCAGCAGTAGTAGCAGTAGTTGTAGTAGTAGTAGTAGTAGTTGTAGTAGCAGCAGCAGTAGTAGTAGCAGTAGCAGCAGTAGTAGTAGCAGTAGCAGCAGTAGTTGCAGTAGTAGTAGTAGTAGTAGTAGTAGTAGTAGTAGTAGCAGTAGTAGCAGTAGTTGTAGTAGTAGTAGTAGTACTAGACAGTGCTACTAGCACAAATGATAATGATATAATATTAACAATAACATTAACGACAACAACAACAACAACAACAACAAAAACAATAAAAATAACCTTGCAAACCCCAAGATAACGTCTATGACCCCGAGACGAGTACCAAGCTGGAATATTCCCCGCCAATAAAGAGGACAAGCCTATGGCGGGTAAGAAAGTTTCGCGTCCTGATGATGATGATGATGGAGTTGGGGTGAGGATGATGATGTGGTGAGGATGATAATGATGATGATGTGGTGAAGGTGATGATGATGAGGTAGGTGAGGGTGATGATGAAGATGGTTGTTGTTACGTTAAAGAGGTTGGTGTTGGTTGACGGTGAGTCTGATGGGAGTGATGATTATGATGAAGGTAGCAAGGATGATGATGATGAAGAAAAAGATGATGATGATCAAAAATTATTCTATCATAAACCTTTAATGTCTCTAGTGTCTACCATATACCCACCACGGTTTGATAAGCTTACTGATGTTTTTACGTCTTCGGCTGTGTGTGTGTGTGTGTGTTTGTGTGTGTGTGTGTGTGTGTGTATGTGTGTGTGTGTGTGTGTGTGTGTGTGTGTGTGTGTATGTTTTACTCCTTTTCTCTATGATACCTTTAGTTTTTATGTGTTTATTACTTAAGTTTTTAATGATATTGAAAATTTCGTTTGGATTATTTTGTTTCGAATGTTTCACTAGTCTTTTTTTTATAGTTTTATTTACTCATTACTTCACTCACTCATTCAATTTTTAATTCATTTGTAGTTTTATTTGTTTGTTCGTTCGTTCAATCAATCATTCATTCGTTCATTTGTTCATTCATTCGTTCAATCAATCATTCATTCGTTCATTCATTCGTTCATTCATTCATTCATTTTTTTCCTCTACTCTTATGGTTGTCATATAAATGTGTTGATTGAAGTGAGGATTAACGAAATGAAGATGACGATGTCCAGCTTCTTCATTATCATCATCGTTATTATTTTAATATTTGAAATAATAATAATAATATTAACAATAATAATCATCTTCGTCATCATCAACAACAACATCATCATCAACAAAAACAATATCCTCATCATCATCACCATCATCATCATCATCTTAATAAAACACGATCATAACCTATTCCATCGAAAAAAAACTTCTCGTCAATGTGAGCTTTGCTATCATCATCATCATCGTCATTATTATTATTATTATTTTTATTCTTTTTATTATTATTATTATTATTATTATTATTATCTCGACCGGACACCATTTTTACTAGAGCGACCCTCGTCAGGACGACACTCTGTCCGGCGGAATAAAATCCCGAAAAATTCCCCATCCATTTTTGAAATCCGTAGTGAAGTGCGTGACCGTATAACTCCGGTTTAGTCGGATCTCTACCGGATAAAAACAGCCTCAAGTTCGGTATCGAGACGTAAGAGTCAGGGTCGGATTTCATGAAAAAATCGGCCTGGTTTCGGTAATATCGGTATACGTGATTCCAGGCGGTTCTGGATTTATTCGCAATGTGATCCCGGCCGGATGTGACGTTCAAACCGATGGCGGGAAAATCCGGATTTCCTGTTGAACTCATGAAGAGTGTGATGTCACAGTTTTTCGCCCACGTGTCGCGAACACGTTTGGCTTTTTCCAGGATTTCTCCGTCCGTCATGAACCAGCAAAGGATTCGAAGGTGTTTGGTGTGGCTAGTGCTGCTGCTGCTGTTGTCGCTACTTCTGCTACTGTTGGTGGCTTTACCTAGTTCGAAGTTGTTGTTCTTGATGTCGTCTAGAATGATGTCAGTGTTGTTGTTGTTGTCGTTGTTGTCGTTTTTGTTGTTGTTGTTGTTGTCGTTGTTGTTGTTGTCCTTGTTGTTGTTGTCGTTGTTGTTGTTGTTGTCGTTGTTGTTGTTGGCAGTCAATTTGGAATTGTTGTTAATACTTGCAGTTTCATTTATGACGTCATCATTGCTATTGCTGATTTTGATGTTGTTGATGTTGATGTTGTTGTTTATGTTGTTGCTGATGTTATTGTCGTCGTTGTTGGTGGTGACGTCATACCGACCGAACCGCTCAACCGAACATGCGAATAATAGCCGAGTCGAACTTTCATCATTTTTGATAACGGTTCTGTGAAATATCGGTATGAATAAACCGACCAAGAAACCGAATATGGCGTGTCTATGTTGTTTCATCACTGAAATTAATCTCAATGTTCTGCTGTGGGTTAACATAATATTGTGAGTAAGATGTAAGGACTCAAGAAGTTTATAAATATTTTCATGTGTGTGTTTGTGTGTGTGTGTGTGATTGTATGTTTGTATGTGAGTGTGTGTGTGTGCGTGCACGTGTGTGTGTGTGCGCGTGTGTGTGTGGGTGTGTGTGTGTGTGTAAACATTGAAAAAACATGATTGATTGATTGACAAAATAGTTATGGCTTGATAAAGAAATGAAATATTATATTATAATATTATTACGACTATATTATGAAGATGAGGATGATGAGTATAACAATAAAAAATGAAAAAACAAAATTGTATTATGATTATTATTATTATGCAGACATACACATCTTTATAATAATATTATTGGCCATTTTTGTTATTATAGCAATATATTATACTGAAACGCCTGATGTTTATTTGACAGTTAACGAACGATGTGTGTCTATTTGTCTTAACCAATTCCATCAAAAAAAAACTTGCTATCATCATCGTCATCATCATCGTCGTCATTATTGCTATTATTATTTTTATTCTTTTTTTTTATTATTATTAGTATTATTATTATTATCTCGACCGAAAACCATTTTCACCAGGAGTTTTTCATTTTAAGAATGTATGTCCTATGAAAACTAGTTTGTTGTGAGGGAATGTTTGCCTCATATCTGACTGCATTTTGGCAACTAGCATCACAGACACGTGATGAAGATTTCATTGTTTTATAAAGATACTAAAATATCTAGCTATGTATCTAACTGCTTGCTACATGTATCTAACTACTTTGTATCCATGTATCTAACCGTGTATCTAACTATATGCCTATCTTAATCGAATATCTTACTAACGTGATTTCAAATGAATGTACAGCATTTTTCCCCGTCAAAATATTATAAACCTCAAAATTTTGAAAGATCAAAAAATACATTTTATTTCTGAATAACTGTTGAATAACTAAATTTTTTATTAGCAAACAACAAAGAACATAGCGTTGCGAGCAAACAAAGAATATCACGTTGTTAACCAGATAGAAGATACATTAATAACTAAACGCTGTTTCGTGTCATTTCTTTAAAATTGAAAATTTGAAATTGAAAAATATAAAAAATATCTTGTATTTTTAAACCAAATAACTCGATGCGTTTATATATTTTACATACATTACTTATATCTATCTGAAATGCGTTTTACTACATAGAATGATAATTATGTTTTCAGGATAAAGTATTTAAAGTCGGAGTTATTTCTAAACCTTATCAAATTTTGCTCATGTAGACAAGTTGATTTAAATAAGAAAATGAATTTTCTTGTAATTACTTCTATTACCTTATTGTTGGCTTTTCATTTGGGTTATGGCGAAACTAATGATGAAGGTTTAACTTAATTTTTTCAGATTATTTAATTTGTTAATTCATTCATCAACCCATTCATCCATTCCATCGCTCATTCATTCATTTACTCATCCATTAAAACATTCATTTTTTCAAAAAAATTTTTCTAATTGAGCAGAAATCAACTGGCCTAAAACTGTCAACCTCCTAACTCCTTCTAACAATCAGGAACAGATCAATTTGAACTTGCGCTTGGTCGGTGACGAAAATGATGGCGGTATCTTGGCATCAATCCCACAGAATATAATTGAACAGCTTAGTGAAATGGACTTTTATATATCTGAAAGTGTATGTGGATGTTTCTGTCTGATAAATTTCAATTTTTTTCTGTGGTTTTGCTAAGTTTATTACTGATTTTGATGAGATTCTTGGAAAGGTGTTGCATTTTTTGTCGGTTTAGATACAATTTGTTGTCGTTATAAAATGACTTGTGATGTATTTTTAGTGTTAGTACTAGTGAAACAAAATCGTCAGTTCTGTTCAGTTGAAATGTTTTAAACCTCTTTTTCGTTTTTAAATTTATAAATTCTCTTTCTAAATTCAATTTTTTAGGTACTGCGGGAATATACGGATGAAGAAAATGGCGCAAAATTTATTGCAAGCAAGAAAGCTGGCGGACTTTTTTTAGTGTGTTTAATTTCATTTTTGACGAGTTTAAATTTCATTTCTGTTGAATAACTAACAAAATATTTTTGTTTTAAACTATTTTAAATGATTTTTTTTCATTCTAAAATTTACATTTCATAATGAAAGAAAGGGTTACTGGAGTACACCGGTAAATTTTACTACGTTGACATAATCGAAGACGTAATGTCAAAGGACCATTTTATAGTAAATATGGTTGAGTTGGTTTCTCTAACTGAAACTGTGCATCTTATAGATGGTGGTATGAAAATGGTTTTTTTTCTCAATTTATTCATTCATTGAAGCATTCACTAATTCATTCATTCATTTATTCGTTCATTCATTCATTCATTCATTCATTTATTAGTTCGTTCGTTCGTTTATTCATACATTCAAACATTTTTCTAGACAACTAACCGACCCTGGCTGTAAAACTTCGGAAAAGAAATTTGTTAGCGAAAGATGGCTATTGTTGAGTTTGAAATAAATCATATTATTTTAAATATTTTAATAAAAAAAATTAACTCATAATTTTGTTGCTATAAACATTTCAAAATAAATTTTTCGTTAAATTCATAAAAAATTGAAAAAATTTGAAAAAATAGTTTGTTTTAATTTTACGAAAATGTTGATCCGATACTCAAAAAAAATTTCTCACATCCCAAACACAAAATAGGTTTAATTATGTCCATCAAAAAAAAAATTGTTTTAAATTAAAAAATTATAAAATGTAGCATATGTAGCATGAAATGTAATGTAGCATAGAAACGAAATGTAGCATATATTACAAGTTACTGATACGAGACATTAATTTACAACTCATAAAAGATAATCAATTTCATCACATTAATTCCAGGTGACATTAAATGGCATCACTTCTTCACAACAGATGACACTTCCAGGCTCTTCAAATTAGTACCACAAAATAGCATATGCCATTAACATTAAATAACATAAAACGCAATTGTGTTATGCAAAATTCCTTAATCTACACAATTTATAGTAACAAATAATTATACGCAATTATAAATATATATATAATATATATATATATATTGCATTATCTCTAAATAAAATAAAATAAATAAATTAAATAAATTGCATTACCTAAGCTTAATCAAGACAGATTTATTTTTCAGTTTAATGTGGCAGTGCTTTTAGAAAATGTGAATTCAGATATTTGAGGAAATTTGAACATTTGTGAAAACAAAATTTTAATCTTTCGTATTCTAGCTATTCATAGCTAGCTATTCATGCCAATCATTTGATTCACTCTTTCTCTTTATCTCTTTCTCTCTCTTTCTCTCTCTCTCTTTCTCTCTCTCTCTCTCTATCTCTCTTTCTCTCTCTTTCTCTATCTCTCTTTTTCTCTCTCTCTGTTTCTCCTCTCTTCATCCAATAAAGATTCTTACATAGAAATGCATGATTAGTAGCTAAACAATAGAATTTTCGTGATCTCGTTTAAGAGCTGAACAATTTGAGCTTGCCAAGTTTTCTCATATTAAACTCGAGAAATTTATAAATTGTGAATATATACCATACATGACGAATAAAAAGATAATTTCACACATTCACACATATTTGTTATAATGAATTGAGCTGTGATTGTAGTTTAAAAGATTTGATTTATCTGGTTTCTAAAATGACATTTTTAGTCTAGGAAGAACATGTTGGCTACTATTGCATTTGTTGTTTTTAATCTGCTTCTTGGCGACGTTTCAGTTAATGGTTAGTAAAATATGGATTTTAACTACCTCAAGTAGATTGCATTTTTAATTTATTTGAAGAATTCAATAAAAATACTTTAAATAGTACTTTAAATAGTACTTTAAAATACTGCAAATTAGGTAAACAGTACTTCACCAGATCATATCTACAATTACTGTCTTAGATCACTTTGTAGAAGATAATTTTAAAATTAAATATTTCTCTCTTACAAATTTCTCCCGCTCATCAACAATATTCAAAAGACTGAAATTTCTTCGCTTTTGACTCTAGTAACCGTAACAGTAAAACAAGGAACTTTAAAAATAAAGCCATCGTCTAAATATTTTGTGAAATCAACATATTCATTAATTATTTCATAATTATAGAATATTATTATAAATTATTATAAAATATTATCCAGCTGTGGATTACGATGTCCGAAAATTGGAAACAGAATCGTCGACATCTGGTTTCCTATCCTCAAACTTTGGCCTAAAGCCTCTAATCACCAACAACAACCAACCCTTCCAATACACACCGACTGTTTACCTGAACCAGTTCAGTTTCAAAGAAAATGGAGTTTTGTTCGCTTTTTTTGCACACTGGCGATCATCTGACCTCTTACAAGTTCAAATTTGGAGGCCCGATTCTTCTATGACGGGTCAAAAAGAGGGCGAGGTTTATTATAAATTTGTGTCAGAGGTCAAAGTTCAACCGGATGTGGTTAAAGATACGCAAACGGTAAGGAGTTAAGTTGTTAGTTTGCTGGAATAGATGCGTCATAAATTGAAAATTTATTTTTAATACTGTGTTTCATCTGTTTCAAATCGTCTTTTTCACCAAGGTCTATATAGTAAGCTCGCTCAACCAAAAATGTCTCGCAGTGCAACCAGGCGATCGACTCGGCTTCTACATAGACGTTAACACGATGTCGTCCTTTTCATACGCCTATGATGACAACCTTCAAACATCTAAAATTTTTACAAACGCTGACGTGTTGAGCAGCGATACTGTCTACGGGTTTCAGACTGTTAAATTTGTGGAAAGGGCCTTCCCTTATAGACTGAATATTATTGCTTATTATTACAGAGGTGATTTCTAAATAATGTCACTTATCTTTGGTTCATTTATTAAAAGTTTTGAAATTTTTCTATTTTTCAATAAAAATTTACCAAAACATATTTTTACTGAATAAATTTTTATTTGTCAGCCCTAGACCAACCAAATTCTGAAAGACAAGTGGACTGCCCAAAGAACTTAGTGATAACCAACAACACCATCACAACAACCCTTCCTCCTTTAATACCTGGAGATAAGGGGCCCGTCGGTGACAGAGGGCCCAAGGTTAAGTTTGTATATGTTGACTTGACAGTAAGGTTTGAACTATAGACACATATTGTATAAAATATAATAACGATTCTCAATATTGTATTGTTTTATTTGTTTGAACGATAAACATCATTCATTCATTGAACCCTCATTCACTGAATTGATTGTGGTATAAACTTGTGGTTTAATGTTAGTGTAGTGATAGGCGTCGAAAGTTCAAACCATTACATTGAGACAAATTTCGCATTTGGAACTTCTTTTTTGAAATTGTAAAAATTTTGATTATTGAAAAAACAACTTCAACTTACGCAACTGCAGACTCGTATTTATTTAAAAATTTCAAGTCTGAAATTTGTCTCCATAGGGAGAACAAGGAATCGTAGGGCCTCGAGGTTCTCTGGGTTACACTGGCGACACTGGATCGACCGGGTCAAGAGGTGAAGGGGGGTATAAAGGCTCGACCGGACCAACCGGATCGTCAGGTTTCACTGGATATCCTGGTGAAAAAGGTACAGAAACTGAAAAATGATACACATATCTACGTAACCTATCACCTTTCATCTATCATAAATTTTTTTTTCTTAATTTAATTGATCATAAGTCGTTTGTTCGATTATTATTAAAATCCTGATACATATTTAATTGCTATTTTAATCTTAAGAATTTATCATTTAATTATGAAATCACACATTTTATTGAAATACAAACTTGAACATTTTTTCATAACGTATCGTAAATTCTGTTCTCTTCTTTTATCTCTTTCTTTCTCCTCTCTCTCTCTCTCTCTCTCTCTCTCTCTCTCCCTCTTTTATACTAAATCTATTTTACGTCTGCCTTCTTTGTCTTTTTCTTTCTCATTTTTTTAATTTTTAATCCATCTCTCTAATTTCCTCTCTCTTTTTCTCTCTTCCTCTGTCTATCCATCTTTGGCACTTTCAGGATCGACCGGAGTGCGTGGAGCCCAGGGCAGTACGGGAAATACCGGATCGACCGGAGGTACGGGGGCTACAGGGCCGCAAGGGCCTCCCGGATTTTTAATTGTTATCAATTCGTCTGGGGATGACCATGGTCAGGGCAGTACTACTAGCAGAAGTTTCCTGCCATGTGAGTGCGTGTTATGCTGACATAGAGAGTGGAGATGTTTTTGAATTGTTGTTGACTTTTTTTTTGGAGAAAAGAATACATTTTTTGATTGGTTTTTTTTCTGTACGGAATTGAAATTTTATTTCAATCGATTTAATAATCATCATTTATGTTGTGTAAATAAATTTCAGCCATTCAAAATTCAAAATTTTCTTTTGAAAATTTTAAAGTGCTGCTGCAGCTAGTGGACGACATGTCAACATCGCCAGCAGGCGGCATGTTCGCCACGAAGTGGAAATCCGAATCATTCTCAATTGGTCTGCTCATCTGGTTCTCAATTCTCAGCGCTCTTGTTATCATCTACTCATTAATCCTCATAGCAGAATGTGTAAAATTGAAAACAAAATCATCGAAACGAACAAATTCAAAAGTCTCGCCAATGAATACAATAGGTCCAGACGCCTGGAACACCCTGGACACCAATGCTTCATCAGTGCTGGAGTTCTCGACTCCAACAGTTGCATCAACTTACCCGTCCAATAAGCATAATTTAACAGCCGGTAGTGGATCCTTCACAAACCGAACATACGGAAATTGGACTGATGTCCCGGATTACGATGTCGATACGATGAATGGGGTGAATGATGAGCATCTGAGGTCAATGAAGGAAGATTCGTTTAAGGATTACAAGCTAGACACCATTGGGGAATGATGATCTCGATGAGTTGGAGAGGGTTGTAGCTCTCTAAGTTATTCAGCTGTGAGTTTGTCTCAAAGATTTTATGCTGCTACTATTTGTTTGAACAACTTTTTAAATATATTTAGTGTAGTTAGCTGAATTTTTTTGTTTAGTTGATGTTGAAACAGAACAACAACGACCATTTTATTCGTATAAAACCTCAAATGTTGAAAAACTGATCGGAACGTCTTTCGATTTAATTCTAGAATTTGCAAAAAAATCATAGAAACAGCATAGTCAATACATTTTTTCAACGTTAAACAGTCAAAAGTTTCAAAAAACCGACAGATGAAAAAAAAATTCATCAACCCATTCTTGGTTTCGGCACAACCCTCTTGCCGAATCTCACCCTCTTATCTCTGAGTGCCTCAGCTAAGTAACCGTCATCATTTGAGTAATCAACATTTGCCGTCATTTTGGAACTCTTTGTGCCATCGTAGTCATCAATGTCATCTTCCTCCAATTGACCTTTTTTGAGTAGAAAATCTACGCAATCTTGCCCTGCCAGTTTGTGGTAGGAACATATTCTCGTTAGAGATGCACCACTTGAAATGGTTTTGGCATCGCTAATGAAGAACTTCTGAGAAAAACCTAAAATATTTTTATTTTTAGTATTATTAGTATTATTATTATTATTAGTAGTAGTAGTAGATAAGTTATAGCAGTAGTAGTAGTAGTAGTAGTAGTAGTAGTAGTAGTAGTAGTAGTAGTATTAGTAATAAAAGTAGTAGTAGTAGTAGTAGTAGTAGTAATAGTAGAAGTAATAGTAGTGGTAGTAGTAGTAGTAATAGTAGTAGTAGTAATAATGAAGACAAAAATTTGTAGTCACTATACTGAATGAACAAACAAACTTGAGCCATTCACCAGACATCAACTTTTAATACAAACCATTCATTCAAATCATGGAAATATATTTTGATGAATTATCTTTTAAAAGAATAATTGCACATATGAGATTGAAGGAAAGAGAGAAAGAGAAATAACATTTCGTCCTCTCTCTTTTTATATATAGATATATGCAAGGAGAAGAAAGAGAGAGAGAGAGAGAGAGAGGAGAGAGAGAGAGAGAGAGAGAGGGAGGGAGAGATTATTTTATTTTAATATAAAAAGATAGATGAATTAAACAATTTATATCAATTCAATTCCTAAGAAAAACTGCGCTTGGCAATTAATTTGCTCCTCACTGCTTGCTTGATAGATGGGTACTGATGACACAAATTCTTATTAGAGACATTAATTCCATTTTGACACAAGTTAACACACGCGTTATTTGTTTATTTCTATTTGTTTATTTTTATTATTATTATTTTTATTTCTACTACTATTACTACTTTTACTTGTGGTAGTAGTGGCAGCTGCAGCAGCTGTGGTAGTAGTGAGACAACAACTACAGTACAACAGCGAAAAAATGAATTGTTTAATTTCGATTTTTTGACTGACAAATGTGTGTGTGTGTTTGTGTGTGTGTATGTTTGTTTTTGTGTGTCTGTGTGTGTTTGTCTGTGTGTGTGTTTGTCTGTGTGTGTGTGCGTGTGTGTGTGTGTGTGTGTGTGAGTGTGTGTGTGTGTGGGAGTGTGTGTGTGTGTGGGAGTGTATAAAGGTCAACGTAAGATAAATGCATGACGTAACGCAATAACGCAATAATAAATGTTATGCGCTACACCAATTCAAAGAATAAAAAAAGAAACAAGGCAAAGAAACGAAAATAAAATAGATAAATAGAATGGTGATTTGTTAGGTAGCAACTGACATTTTAATTAATCGATTTATTATTTGTTATTTTTTTTCAATTTTGTTACTACAACTAATAGTAGTAGTTATAGTAGCAGTAGTAGTGGCAGTAGCAGTAGCAGCAGTAGTAGCAGTAGTAGTAGTAGTAATAGTAGTAGTAACAGTAATTGTAGTAGTAGTATAGTAGTAGTAGTAGCAGCAGCAATAGTAGTAGTAGTAGTAGCAGCAGCAGCAGTAGCAGTAGTAGCAGTAGTAGCGGTAGTAGTAGTAGAAAAAGTAGTAATAGTATTAGAATCAAAAATATTAAAGCGACGGTACCCGCCATCAACTAACTTTCAAGAAATAATTTTTGTTAAAAAGAAAAATTTCAGAACCATCTTCACATTTCAATCGCTAAGAAATCTAAAAAAAACTTTTACAATCGTGTTTAGGCGATGTTGTCTTAAGGCATTATGCCAATTTCCACGCTCTGAGGCAATTTATATCTTCTCACACACACACACACACACACATATATATATATATATATATATATATATATATATATATATATATATACACACACACACACAGACCACACACACAAACACACAGACAAACAAACACACACAGAGACAAACAAACACACGTAAACATACATTCTCGTTTATATTGATCCTGGCGTGCGATCATGCCATGCGAAGTTATGCTTTTTGTATATGATTTGTTTGTACTTTTATTTTACTTCGGAGAAAAAATTTTTGAGTGAAGACAGTTTATTTATTTTTTTTTTGTTAAGTAGCAGAAATAGAAGTAATAGTAGTAGAAGTTGTAGGAGCTATTGTTGTAAAAACATTAGTAGTAGCAGAAATTTTAATGAATTTTCAACTAGTTGTAATTAATTTTTCTTTTTAGTAAACCGAGTTGCATAATAATTATTAATTTTTTTTTCTCAATATTTTTTATATGGGTGAAAAAGACAGAAGATATATCGTATGGCAGCGTGATAGAGTAATGGTTAAAGCGCTTGGTCGTATATCGCCGTAACCGGGTTTGAATTCAAAACGATCTTAATCAAAATTCGCGCTAAAACATATACAATGCCTTTATTTAAACATAAAAGTACAAATGGGTTTGCCTTTATTGAAATTTTGAAGGGTTGTACAAAAAATCGTACTTTTTAAATAATATACAAAGACACTCGAGATTAACTTGTCAAATTTATTGAGTATGGCCTAATTTGTCAGCCTGGAGTACCTTGCACAACAATGTAGCAAGGGCCTTTATAATTATTTTCATAATTTGAAAGCGATTTGTTTCTACATGTGTTTTTTTTTTAATTTTGTTAAAAAATTTAATTAATTGTCGCTAAAAATGCCAAAAAACATTATGCGGAAAACGCAAAGATGCTGCCAACATGAACGGTCACCGCCGCTGTAGCCCGTCCTCCCCCATTCAATGTCACCCATACTTTAAGAAAGATAGTGCTAAAAATTTTCGTCTTTAAAATCAACTTGAAAAATTATTTGCTTTTGCAATAAAAGAATTAATTTTTGCTTGCGGCTTCTGGATCAGCCGTTTGCTTAGAAATTATTCAAGCTTTCGTTCGTTCATTCATTCAATTATTCATTCATTCATTTATTCATTCAATAATTCATTCATTCATTTTTTTAATATTAATAAATTTTTCTGAATAATGTTTACGAACTTATAAGGATCAATGTTGAGCCAAGGGCCAAATAGGAGAGAAACTTCATCGTTTTGATTCGTTTGCTATTTTCCTAAAATATAAAATGAAATTATTATTTTTGATTTGAATTCAAGAAAAATTCACTAAAAATTTGTATATTTCAAGTTATTATTTGTATATTTAAATTGAAAATGTATTTAATATATAAATTCAAAAACGCTGTATGATGGTCTTATAGAAAATTTTAAAGTTTCAAACATAAATGGATGAATTTATAGATATGACTTTACATATCCATACATACATACATATATACATACAAACATACATACATACATACATACATACATACATACATACATTCATACATACATACATACATACATACATACATACATACATACATACATACATACATACATACATACATACATACATGCATGCATACATACAAACATACATACATACATACATACACATATACATACATAAATACATACATACATTCAATCATACATACATACATACATACATATATATATATAGGTACATACACATATATACATACATACGTACGTACATAATTGAATTAGATATTTATTCGTTGTGAGATAGCAAAGTTTTTCAAGAATGGTAGGATAACTCGATATAGCTTGACCAAAATTATGTTTTAATATTTTTTTTGATGTGTAATAACATTAAAAATTAATCAATTCTATCTACTTTATTATTATTATTATGTATTATACTTTCAATCTATCATTTATTCATTCATCCATTAGTTCAAACATTCGTTCATTTAATAATTGATTCTTTTGTTCATGCATTAATGTATAAATAAATACGGCCTCATTCACCCATCCAATCATTCATTTATTTATTGATACATTCATTCGTTCGTTCATTCGTTCGCTCATTCATTCGTTCATTCGTTCGTCTATTCGTTTGTTTATGTAGTTTCTTTAATCTGATTAACAACGATACCAAAATTATTAGATTATGAAAAAATATAGGCGAAAAATTATTAATTGAAACTGCAAAACTATCTGACAAATTGGAACGTAATCAATTTTTTACTGTTACTACTGCTACTACTTGCGCTACTGCTGCTGCTACTACTGCTACTATCGCTACTACAACTAAAAATACTACAACTACTGTTGCTGCTACTATATACAAATCATAGCCATAACAAAAAAAACAACAACAACAATGATAATAATAATAATCATAATAACGCAACCTGTGATCTCAAGAACAAGTTTGGAAATAAATACGGAAAAGGACAATACAAGGGTAACAAAAGACTTTTACTGTATGATCAACCTGCAAACATACATACATACATACATACATACATACATACATACATACATACATACATACATACATACAATTTTACAATGTATACTTATGTTTATTTTCGAAATATTTATGCTTTTGTTTGATTACTTAAATGGACAAAAATTTTTTTTTTGTGGTTATGATGGATAGCGACTTTGGTTAGTTCTATAAAAGTCGCTATACAAGTTTTTTATAATAATAATACATACATACATACATACATACATACATACATACATAAATACATACATACATACATACATACATACATACATACATACATACATACATACATACATACATACATACATACATACATACATACACACACACACACATACATACATACATACAATAGTTTTTTGTTTTCTACTTAAAGTTTCAAAAAGTTTTCAAATCATAAAATGAAAATTTCAAATTTATTGGGCTTATAAAAACATAATATATTTATTATTTGTATCATTTGTAATATTATTTATTATTATTAATAATATTTACATTACTTTTATTATTTTTTCTTATTTTTAAAAGAATTTTTTCGTGTGTTTTACAACGTCCTGTGCCTTAAATTTGATCGTATCAAAGCGACCATAAATATCGAAGCATTTCATATTTCTGCATATGTTACGTGTGTGTGTGTGTGAGTGTGTGTGTGTGTGTGTGTGTGTTTGTGTGTGTGTGTTTGTGTGTGTGTGTTTGTGTGTGTGTGTTGTTGGTACATCTGAGACTTTAAATAAGAACTCGTTGTTAATGCTTATAATTATTATCTATAATATTATTTTTATTTCGAATTTTCATTAAAATTGGTTATGTAAAAATTGCAGATGTATTTGGAAACAGGGTCTGTTGTAGATTTTCATTGAAATGAATGTCAGTTGAATGCTTTTCATGAGACAGAGTACTAGACAATTTGACCACTCAAAATAAGTTTAGTTAATAATAAGTTTAGTTAATAATAATTTTAGTTAATAATAAGTTTAGTTAATAATAAGTTTAGTTAATAATAAGTTTAGTTAATAATAATTTTAGTTAATAATAAGTTTAGTTAATAATAAGTTTAGTTAATAATAAGTTTAGTTAATAATAAGTTTAGTTAATAATAAGATTAGTTAATAATAAGTTTAGTTAATAATAAGTTTAGTTAATAATAAGTTTAGTTAATAATAGCTTTCAAAAATTAATTATAAAAAACTCTTTTCAAATTTTCAAAGAAAAGATTATTGCAGCAGAATTTCTGATTTTAATTTAAACTCTCCGAAAAATATCTCTAATCATAGTGTTTTTTTTTCAAAAAATATGTCAGCTTCATAAATGAAATTTTGAAAAATTTCAAGGAATGAAACAATAATTAAACATAATTTGTGATTGAAAATAGACGTCTTAGACGAAGTTCATTTGAGTTGAGACTATTTTAATCGGGAGCTATAATGCAAGAAAGACTCGATTGATCCCATTGCAGGAGCTGCATGTGGTGCATTTGATATACTGACATTAATCTTTCGCCGGAAAAAACGTTCTTTCAAAGAAAGGACCAAACTTCAGGCACGGATTGTTTATTTCGCAGTCGAAGTCACCTGGAAAGTTGAGTTAGGAAATACTGAACAAGAATACGAGAGAAAAAAAAAATAAAAAAAAATTGTCGTGAGCATACTTTCCAGGGTTGTGTCAGGTTCGACAGGCAGTTCTCCAGATGCACTGCTAAAATCATCATCAGCTGAATCATCATCAGCTGCCTGGTCATCTTCAACTGAATCATCATCTGCTGCATCATCATCAGCTGAATCATCATCTGCTGCATCATCATCGGCTGCTCCATCTTCAACTGCCAGGTCATCATCTGCTGCATCATCACCCTGAGCACGTACTCCATTATGATCATCTTTGTATCCATCAGAGTTAAACGATCTTCCCTGTCCAAAACTTTCCACTTGCGCTAACACTGCCAACAGTAAGCAAATAACTACAGCTTTCTTCATCCTTCTCATTTTAAACTTGAAACGTTAATATATTAAAATAATTACTTCACAAATTATCAAAAAAAAAATTATGATAATTTCGAAGTTTAATCGTCATTCTTTGTAGTTTTATAGTTTCGTTTCGTTATTTTGTTTTTGTTATTTGTTATTGAAAAATTTAATAAAGTTTAATTAATCAAGAATCTGTCAAAGATTTCATTGCTTGCCAATATGGTCTGGTAATCAAATAAATCAAATTTGTCGAAACGTTTCCAATTTAAATATTTACTTATAAAAGAAAGTTTCTTCAAAATTATTTTTCGTTTTTAAATAATTGAAAATTTTTAAAATATGTAAAAACAATTCGTTAGAATAAAGAAATAATAATTTTTAGAACATCTTAGACTGACAACACCGTCAAATAAATAATTAATTCTTATTAATCTTTTCAAAAATTTTTAAGGTTTTCTCGTTAAAAATATTTATTTATTTGAGAGAAAAATATTCCTTCATAAATTTATCATTATGCGTCTGACATTTAAAATTTGTAATAAGTAAATTTCGATCGTAAAATCTATATTGCCTATCAGTGTTGGGAATTCAAAATCGTTAAGGATTCAATTTTGTTTTAAATGAAAAAAGTTGAAGTCTTTGAATCAAAAGTGGAAATAACTAAAGTTATTTTTAATTGAAACGATTCAGAGTCGGATTTGAGGTAGGGCAGGCCCTGTCTCAACATTGGCCTCTACGAAAGACGAGTTTGGCTTTAAAAAAAAAGTACTTCAACCAATTCTACAAGCAAATTGACACAAAAATTTTATAAATTAAAGACCTTCACAGAATATTTTAGGGCCTCTTTAAATAATTATTAATTAATTAAGAACTTTCCGTATTTCTTTGCCGTAGAATGTTCACATTTTTTTATTATTCTTTAGAAATCAGGATCTGGCAGACGCAGAAACTTTAATCCAACCTCGCCCGCACTGCAACGGTGATAAATAGAATTAACTCGATAGATGCAAGCCAGGGTATGGTTCAATTTTTGTTGTTCCTTATAACACAACCCTGTCAAAAGCCGAGCTGCTTACGTGTTATTCTATATGTACTATCAACACCACACCACAAGCCGACAAAACACGCATTTCACAAGGATTGTTAATATTACATACAGCAATACTTAGAAATACGCCACGAATGTTTTAAGTTTGTCTAGGAAATGTAATTGTTGTAATATTTTCTCAACTAACCGGCTAAAATTTTTCAGAATTTTTCAGATTCAATGGCAGAAGCCAAATGACATGAAAAAAATAGAATCCAAATTTTGGCAGAAGAGAAAAAACAGACAAAAAAGGTCTTCCACCGAATTATACAATCATAAGTGTTAGTTAAGGTCATAGCAGAAGTAGTAGCAGTAAAATTAACAATACTTAAAAAGTTATAATATCAGTTTATAATGTAATATAGTTTATAATATTACAACTCTTTCTAGTTTCAGAAAGTTTATAATAATATAACTCTTTCTAGTTCCAGAAAAGTCAACACATGAATTCTGTTAATACTGTTCGCTCTTCAGCGTTCTACGACTGTTACCGAACGAACAACATAGTATTGTTCTTGGAGAAATTCTTTCTGTTTCCGAGAGATGGCTTTAATTGGCGACTTAGATGTGTTGAGTAATAGTTAGTTTTTAAAATGTTACAAGTTTAATAATCGAGATTATTAAACTTCGTAATTGTAGATTAATTATCAATGCGTCAAGCTCATCCTATGCTATGATAACAGAAGCAGCAGCAGCAGCAACAACAACAGCAACAACGACAACAACAAAAATAACAACAACATCATCTAGTATTAAAAGTATACATATTTTTTTTGTCTAATACAGGGAAAATATTTTACAAATTTCTAAAATAAAATCAATTCATCTAAATATGATCGGCTCGTTGATGGACAGATGGTTGCATCAAATTTTAGAAGTTTTTATAATTAGTTGTTTACGACTACTACTACTACTACTAATATCACTTCTACCACCACTACTACTTCTACTACTACATCTACTATTATTACTACTACTATTACTATAACTTCTACTACTACTACTACTACTACTACTACTACTACTACTACTACTACTACTACTACTATTACTACTATTTCTACTACTACTACTACTACTACTACTACTACTACTACTATTACTACTATTTCTACTACTACTACTAGTACTACTACTAGTACTGCTGCTGCTGCTGCTGCTGCTACCACACTTACTACTACTACTATTAATAATAATAAAAATTATATTATAAAAAATATTTTATTGCCATAGGTTCTGGCTAATGATGATTGGGTATGTATTGTACACGAAGCAGATGGCGATAATGAAAGCGGCTACGTTTTCAAATCTATAAAAAGCGTGTTTGTGTGTGTGTGCGTGTGTATGTGCGCGCGTGTGTGCATGTGCGCGCGCGTGTGTGCATGTGTGTGGTGTGTGGGGTATGCTTGAATTGAATGCTATTTTATGGAAGTTTGTTGTTATAAACGTTTAGTTACTGAACGCGAAACCAAAATCCTTAACTTTTTTTTCATTTGGTCTCATCTAACTTTCATGGTGAAGATGATGAAGAGGACGATGTTGGTGATGATGCTGATTATGACGATGGTGATGATGATGATGATGATGACGATGATGATGATGAAGGTGATGATGACGATGACGATGATGGTGACGATGATCATGACGATGATTAGGATGATTTAGATCAGCTTCCAACTGTTCTGATGATTTTTTCGGATGAAAAAAAAGGTAGAAAAAATTATTTTCCTCTTTTTTAGACCACAAGCTACTGAAATTTTTTTTTTAGAAAATTAATTCAGCTCTACAACGGACCACATTTCAACGCTAACATTCTACCTTGGATTATTATCGTTTAGTTTAGAAGTATTTCTGACTAATTTTACATCGTTAGAAAATATTTACGCTCCGAATTTGGCAAAAAATCTGCGTGGTAAAATTTTTTTGATTTGCATTTTTGGTGAAATTCTACCGTACCCAACAAATTTTATCTACCAGATTCACCAAACATTGCCGGGATTTATTTACCGAAGGCACGAGAAGTTTATTTGCAATTGCTCTCAGTGTAAATACGTGTGGTATGAATTTCATCCGAGAGAAATTCGTTTTCGAGCGTTCGAAATCCACGCTTTTTAATGATCCTAGCGAAGATTTTGTTGTCTATTAAAATAGAGAGATGCCGCATTTGATTTAGCAGACAAGAAAAATGAATTTGCTACAAATTTCTAGTTTAATTTTTATCTGCGCAATTTTGGCGCGGTACTCTGCATCAGGAAAAGCATGTAAGTTCAATTCATGTGTTCAAATTTTATCTATTTTTTGAGAATTTTGCATTTTGCCTAATGAAAAATTTTAAAACTGCTAAGTTATATTGAATGAAATTATAAACAAAGACGCAAACAAAGACACGAACAAGCACACAAACACACACACATACAAAAACTACAGCCGACGCAGAAATCGAAGAGTTGAAGAAGCTGCTTCCTGAAACTTTGACCCTCACCCTGCCCGTGTCAGCTGACAAAAAAATAACCTTGAACTTGAAGAAATCCCAAAAAGATGCGGCAGGGGATGACATTTTGATCATTGTTAGTGATCACGACAGTGAAAATATATGGAAACCAAGGAACAAGGAGGTCACAAAATTTTTTATTATTTTTTGGCAATTTTTGTAGTGTCAGTAATAGTGGTAGTAGTAGAAGTTGCAGCCGCTGTAGTAGTAGTAGTAGAACTATTTTTTTCAAGGTCATGGCCAGTTACAGTGACGACAAAGGCTCGACAGTTGAGATCGCTTACGTGAAAGAAGATGGAAAAGCTGGAATCACTAAGCTTTATGTGAGGACTGTTGTGAATGTTTATGAACAATTTTTCCTAATTTATTAACATAGATCTGTCTCTCCCTTTGTTTCACTTTCTCTTTCTCTCTCTTCTTCTTTCTCCTTTTTAGTATATGTCAATTAATTTCACTCACACTTCATGCTGAAAGGCAGGGATCTCTTGGCATTTGAATCCAGTAACAGCGAAAGTGGTGCCAAGCACCTTAATTGTTACACTATCTGGCTACTGCCCCAAATCATTTCAAAATTTTAAATCGTTGTTAATTTATTAATTCTATAATACAAACTTCCACCATAAATTCACAATCATTCATAATTAGCCCATGACATCATCCTAATTTCATCACAATTACTGGAAACCCCAGTACGGCACATTCACTCACGGCAAAGAAGCTTTCGTCCTGAGACCCGAGTCAGAGAGTCCAAATGTCAAAGATGTTTACAAAGTCGTCTTGGATGGAGTTCCACACTGCATCTTCCATCATTTAGATGCCGTCAATTTTGGATGTTGGCAATTTTTTACTATTTTTTTGGTTATAATTATTTTTGGTAATAATTGTTTTTGGTAATAATTATTTTTAGTTATAGTTATTTTTGGTTATAATTATGTTTGGTCATAATTATTTACTTTATATTTATTTTTCGTTAAAATTAGGATTAATCATAGATGGATAGATTTTCAGGTTGATTGCACAATCAACCCTTGGCTATCTCATTGATTAATTCTATTTTTTTTAAATCCAACTACTACTACTACTACTACTACTACTACTACTACTACTACTACTACTACTACTACTACTACTACTACTACTATATACATATACTAATACTACAACTACTACTACTACTACTACTACTACACCTACTATTACCTGTCGCTTCTACTACTACTGCCGCTACTACTGCCACTACCAAAACGCAGCTGGCGACGAGATAAAGACAAAAAGATCGGCAAACATTGAGATGCCAGTCTTGAGAAAGAGGAACTCCGGGATCGCCAGGAGCAAGAGGCCCGCTTCCACTGAAATCGTCATAGACGTTCTTGCAGTGTGCGATTATAGCATTTTCCAAAGGTTTCATTGGGAGTTTTTCAGTTAATAATGTGAATAATAAAAAGGATGGTGATGATGATGATGAAGATGAGAACTCTTTTATATCTTCAAAAGCCAAAATATAAATAAAAATTACAATTAAATATAAAATGATCACTTATTATAATAGTTAAAAGATTTTAAAAATGGATAATTTAACATCATTGCTCGTCATTATGAATGTGTACAATGATGCTTACCTAATAATAGTAATAATAATGATAATGTTTAATTTGTATAGCCCTCTTGAATTAAGATAAAGAATAAATAAATTTATATTTGTTTAATTATTTAATCAGTTGGATGAAGTTCAACAATAACGACAAGCAAAAAGCCATTTTAAACATAAAATACTATTTCGCCAACGTCATTAACTCGGTAAGGAACATGTGTGTGTGTGCGTGTGTGTGTGTGCGTGTGTGTGTGTGTGTGTAGAATGAATAACTGAATAATATTTATTTGAATTTAGGTAAGCAAGAAGTACGAATCTATCAAGAGGTCGAAGTACGGCTACAAGTATTCAGCGAAACTTATATCCCTATTTATCGCATCGGTTAGTACTGCTACTGCTGCAACTACTACTGCTATTACTACTGCTGTAGCTACTACTGTGGCTACTGCCGCTACTGCCGTTGCTTCTCTGAAAGATATACTACTTTTTCTGCTGCTGCGTTTACTACTACTACTACTACTACTACTACTACTACTACTACTACTACTACTACTACTACTTCCACTACTACTACTACTACTGCTGCAGCTACTACTACTACTACTACTACCACTATATTACTACTATACTACTACAACTACTATTGCTACTACTACTACTACTATTATTACTACTACTACTACTACTTCCACTACTACTACTACTACTGCTGCAGCTACTACTACTACTACCACTATATTACTACTATACTACTACAACTACTATTGCTACTACTACTACTACTATTATTACTACTACTACTGCTACTACTGCTGCTACATTTCTTCAACCGCTGCATCTACTACTGTGGTTGTTTCTGTTACAACAGCCAGTTTCACCGCTAATCTCTTGATATGAATGTTGTTATGTTATTTTTATTTTGAATAAAAAAAAACAAATAAAAAATACTCTAAAAATAACCAAGACTCCGCAAGATTCTTCCTTCACTGAAAATAGCGGCGTGAAAGTTGGGGATATGACAATGAATATAAATAAAGCGCTTGATGAGTTCACAAAATGGATTCAGGAAAAGGATCAGCAGGGTAAAATCCCGAAATTTGACGTGGCCACTGCTTTTACCAAGTAGCTATGGCAATAATAAATATAATTATTATTATAAAATAATTATGGTAATTATAATAATAGTTATTATTATAAAATAATTTAGGTAATTATAATAATAATTATTATTATAAAATAATTATGGTAATTATAATAATAGTTATTATTATAAAATAATTTTGGTAATTATAATATTAATTATTATTATTATTATTATAATATAATTATTGTAGTTATAATAATAAGTTTTCATGTATATAGCACCTTCGTGTATATACGAACATAAAAATATGCCTCGCGAGCCTGACTGCTTTCGAACCAAGTCAAAACAACACGAAAGACGTGCACTTTAACAATAGGCTATCTAACTCAAAATTTCCACATACAAACACGCACACGCACAAACACCCACACACACATAAACATCTACACACACAAACATCTACACACACATAAACATCTACACACACAAACAGCCACGTACACATAAACATCTACACACACAAACACCCACATACACACAAACATCTACATACACAAACACCCACCCACACACAAACATCTACATACACAAACAGCCACACACATACAAACATCTACATACACAAACAGCCACACACACAGACACACATCAACCACGCACACTAACACAAACACACTCAGATATGAAGCCGGAAGCGTAGCGGGTCTGGCATGGGTAGGAAAAGCATGCGAAATTGGGGGTACAGCTGTCGTAG